CACTTTTATCTCTACACTGTTTTACGAAAACAGACATGTTCATCTTATCACACTTTATCCTAGTTATTTACACTTATGATTCATTTAATATTAACTTTTTCCATACTTTTTATTGTACACAGTACTCAATGTTTTACTTATGGAACAAATTAAAAGAATGACTACTCCTCACAGTCGGCTTCCCCGACATGGAGTAGAGGTAGGGACAGCAGCGTGGCAACCGAAGTAGGATTTGCTAAAAATACGTACCGGGTGTCCGCGACTGGAACGAGGTGGTTTTAGTGGGTAAGCAGTTGCGTTCCCACGATTGATTCGCTCGGCATTACGGGTGTCTGAATTGGGAAAGCGGTAAGAGGGCAGCACACCAGCTCCTTGGGGTGCTGCGGTCTACTCTGAGGGTCTTTTGAAGATTTCCTTCTCCAAAAAAAAAGGTCCAGCTGCAGCAAGGTTCGCCCTACATTGTATGAAGGTCATACGCATACCAGCATACCACATAATGCCCGTCATCCACTGCTCCTTCAGATAGATCGGTTGCCTTGTTTTTAGGATAAGGTTTACTTTTGCCTGGCTTTAAAAGAATATGGATATTTTTTTCCTTTTTATAACTGTACATCGTCGGTCAGATAGCCAAGTGGGTCAGGCCGCCGATTCTCATTCGCTTTACTGTCGAATGGTTAAGTGGATGTAGGCTCAAGCCCTCGGTGAACAGATAAATAAAAAACGCAGCAGTTTAAAATTCTAAAACGGATCTATGGTTGAGCAGTACGGTAAGAGATAAGGGCTTGCGGCTCAGTGATACTCCTTCGTAGATCCTTACCGGAAGGGCGTGGCGCCTACACACTGTCGTGTTTTTAAGCTTTTGTTGCAGCAGCTGCTCTATTAAATAAATAATTGTTGTAATAACTGTTGAAGAGATGAAAATGGCTTCAAAGGCGTTACATTAATTTTTTCTAATTCAAAATACTCAAAGCATTTAACACACGTTGTTGTGCTTGAGAATTCAATAGTTAACCAGGCATACTCTAAAAATAAAACCCCTCAAAAAATTTTTCATATCACTTTGTTGATGTGATTTTAGCCATATTTAAATAACTAAATAAATTGTTTCCTTAATAAATCGAACACAAAGGTAGCGATTAGTCGTTGTAACAACTGTTTATTAAGAAATATGTATATTCAAAGTACGAATAAGAATATAATTTATAAAAGCACTACAAACGCTGTTAACATAAAATTTACAATTGCCAATTAGGTAATCAATCTCAGACCATCGTCTTGTATTTGTACAAAGATATAGAACATTTAAAAGGCTTATTATATGATAGCCTTCACAATTTTTTGCGTTGGGTTTTATACGTATTATTATGAAAGTTGATCAAAGCCACCGTTGGGATATTTTTCCACTTTTTTTTTAAAACCCTTCTGCCTATTCGGATTGCCGACTATAGGCCTCTCCTAATTCTCGCCATTCATCTCTGTTATTTGTGAGACGTTTCTAGATTAGTTATGCAGTTCTTTTAGTATCGTCGCTCCAGCGCATTTGCGGTCTTCCTTGTAATCTTTTAATTTCATATGGCCGCCAATTCCCGATTTCTTTATTCCATCGGCCATCCTTAAGACGTTTGTTATGTCCAGCCCATTTCCATTTCAGTTAAGCTGCCTCTTCGACAGCATCTTTTACTTTTGTTCTATTACGAATATCTTCATTGGTTTTATGGCCTTTGAGTGAGATACCCAGCATCTGTCGTTCCATAGCTCTCTGAGTTTTTCTGATCTTTATGTTTATTTTAGTGAATGTCCAGGTTTGAGCTCCATATGTAAGTATAGGTAGGATACAGGAATTAAACACTTTGGTTCGAAGTCTTTGAGGTACATTTTTAATTTTTAAGTACATATGCTTAAGTACTTTGCTTACCTTGACATTTTGACCCAGATGTGTATATTCATCTATGTGTTCTATCTCTGTCCCTTGGATATTTATCATGGGTTTGTCATTTTGTTTGACATTAGTTTAGTTTTGCCGAAATTTATTTTCAGTCATTTTTTTAGGGATTCTGTGTGTAGCTCTTCAATCATCGTATTCAGTTATTTTTAAAGTCTATTGACTTAAAGATATGTATTAGGGCAGCTGTAAATAATTTTAAAGATATTGTGTCTCCTTGTCTTACACCTCTGTTGATTTTACTGGTCTTGTTTCGATTCCATTACCCAACGTCATTATCATTTCAGCTTGTTCGTAAATATTATGTATTAATATTCTGTACCTGGAGTAGATCCGATTGTTGACTAATGCTTCTTTATAATCTATAAAAGCCAGACATAATGGGATTGTCTTTGATAGTCTTTTCTATTACGATTTTCAAAGTATATAGATGGTCACAGGTGCTGTACCCATTTCCAAATCCGGCTTGTTCTACTGGTTGATATACGTCAAATTTAATTGTTAGGTAACCTGTTTGTAATAATCTTTGTAAAGGTTTTGTAAAGTTGTGAAAGAAGTAAAATAGGTCGATAATTTTTTAGGTCTATGGTGTCTCTTTTTTTGTGTATTAGTATTGTTTTAGCAGTACTCCATTGTTTGGGTATATTGCCTTCGAATAGACATTTATTAAATAGTATTTTTAGATATGTGATGGCTTTTGCTCCGCCTTCCTTCAGCATTTCTGCTAGGATTCCATTGCTTCCAGGAGCTTTATTTCTGTTACTGCCCTATCTATAGAATAATACCTAGGGAATGGCTCCGTTCGACCTTTATACTACTGCCAAAAAAGGCAAATACAAAGCAATGCAACGAATATCGTACGATAGCTTTGATGAGTGATGTTCTAAAACTGTTCTTAAAAATAATCCATAATAGGATCTATAGGAAATTAGACGTAGACATCAGTAAAACTCAGATGGGATTCAGAAAAGGGCTGGGTACAAGGAGCCTCTGTTTGTAATGAACGTTCTCTCACAGAGATGCTTAGACATGAACCAAGAAATTTACGCCTGCTTTATTGATTTCGAAAAGGTCTTTGACAAAGTACAACATGAACCATTAAGACAAGTTCTAATAAAGAAAAATATAGACAGCCGAGATATTCGAATTATATGCAATCTATATTGGAATCAAACAGCAAATGTCAAGGTTGAGGGCAGACTAACAGAAGAAATTCAAATCCGTCGAGGAGTCTGGCAGGGATGTATCTTATCGCCACTTTTATTTAATCTGTATAGTGAAGCTATCTGTGAACAAGCACTCGAGGAAGAAGATCTTGGTCTGATAATAAATGGTGAGACGATCAACAATATAAGGTATGCTGACGATACAGTTCTCCTAACGGGAACGCTAGTAGAACTACAACATCTCGTTCAAAGTCTCAATATATACTGTAACAGTTACGAGAAGCTTGAAAATTAATTTGAAAAAAACTAAATTTATGATAATCACGAAATCAAAGAACATCAGAGCTAATCTTGTAATAGACAATACAACGATTGAGCGTGTGCCCTGTTATAAATATCTAGGTGCTTGGATTACAAACGATACTGATCAAACAAAAGAGATTAGATGTAGAATAGAAATCGCTAGATCAGTCTTTGATAGAATGCGCAAACTCTTTTGCAATCGTGATATCAATATAAAGTTACGAATACGAATGCTGCGGTGTTATGTCTTTTCTACTCTGTTATATGGAGTTGAGGCTTGGACACTAAAACAGTTGACCATAAAAAACATCTTTCGAAGCTTTCGAGATGTGGGGCTATAGGCGCATTCTCAGAATATCATGGATGGACCGCGTCACTAACACGCAAGTACTCCAAACTTTAGACAAAAGATGCGAAATTCTAAATGAGACCGCGTCACTAACACGCAAGTACTCCAAACTTTAGAAAAAAGATGCGAAATTCTAAATGAGATAAAAACTAGAAAGATGGAATACTTGGGGCACATTGTGAGAGGTGAAAAGTACGAACTTTTAATCTACGTGAATGGTTCGGGTGTAGTTCGATTGAACTTTTTAGGCGCGCTGCTAACAAAGTCGCAGTGGCCATGATGATTTCCAATCCCCGCTAGGAGTGGCACGAGAAGAAGAAGCTCTATCTATTTCTTCGTGGCTTATTTCGGTCATCACTTCTGAGTTAACATTTGTTATTTGTCTTTTCAAGTTCTGCTTTGAGGAGCTAGGTCCATAGGTATAAGTTCCACTAATATTGGCGAATATCAAGGTAAATCTGTTTACTACGTTTTTGTCCATAATTTTTAAAAATTCTGCGTAAAAGTGTCTAGCCTTACGGTTTTTCCCTCCTTAATGCTGCTTATAGTAGCTTCTACCTCCTATTGCCTTTAAATCTTGTCACATATTTCGTCAATTTTATATTTATTTCTTCAATATCAACTATTAGATTTCCTTCAGTGTCTGCTAAGTGCCCGTTTTTTTCTTTAAAAATGCCTGCTGTTTCTTTGGTCTTTTTGTAAAGGTTAAACGAATCGTGGTTACGTTCTAATATCTCGATTTTTTGCACAGTTCTTCGACAATTCTATTTTTACCTTCTATGGTAGCTTTTCTTACCTCTATGTCTAGAAGCTGACATGCAGCATAGTCTTTTCCCAAAGGATTCTTTTGTTTTGGTTATCGTCTTTAATAATCCATGTTTTTTTTTGTTTTTGTCATTTTCTGTAATAGTTATTGCTTTAATATTTTCCTCCCAATGTTTTCTAAGTGATTTATTCCTGTTATAACATTATTAACTACTTATGACTTAGATATGCTGTTCTTCAGATATTTAGTAATTCAGATATTCTTTAGTAAGCAAAAAAATTACCACGTCTCGTTGTTTGCAATTTTTCATCAATAAAACAGACTCCAAAGACAAGAATCGACCTATCGAATTATCAAAGGGCCCGGCCACATGAATGGGATGAACGCAAAATCACATGATGCCCAAAAGTCCGGAGCGTCATCCTCGTCGGTGGTGCGGCGTCTGAATATCCAAGCGAGGCCATGTGGCGCCAGTTGTAATCTTGTTCTCGTTGAACCATCATCTCGGTGGCAACACTATTCCACGGTTTCTCCAGCATCCTTGGCGCATCTTCCGGTCGTGAATATTGCTCTGTGAACTTCCGCGTCCTGATAAATTTGATTGTTAGTTTAGTGTCTCGAAAGTTCTTTGTGATTTTATTTGTAACTTAATTTTAGTTGTGGATTAAGAAACGGTAAGGCTTTATGTTTTATTATAGAAAATTATTTTAGTTTATTTTATTTATTAAGAAAAGGAATAATAATTAAAGTAAATTATTAAGAGTTTTATAACATTTCTTTTCAGTTTTGTTGAGAAGCTATTTTCTGGTGGCATCTTAATATTAATTAATATTTTTATTGTAAATAATATCAAAATTACATCCGAAGTGGAAATCGAAACGTCAAAATAAACGTATTATAAATTGAAATTGTGGTTAATTCGCAATAAAAATAGTAATAATATTTCTTTTACTATTTATTTAATATTTTATTATTTTTTAATTATTTGTGAAAATATAAAGGTAATCCATCCCCAATATATTTATTTCTTTATGTACAGTGGGTGATCAAATTATTATGATCACTTCAAAAAACATTGTATTTTGCTGTTTAAGGCCTATCCTCGATAATCCTAACGGTAAAATTCAGTGAGCTATCTATTTCAAAAATATCTTTCTTTACGAAAACAAAATCCATTCACGAAGAATATTCTAAACGTCATCTGGTACTAAATTTTATATTTTTACCTACTTACAACCCCCTATTGTGAAGTCTTGGGTGTATACAATAAAGCGAGCGGGAGGTCTTCTATTCATTGCGATTATGGGGTAATTAGAATAATACGAGTATACCAGAATAATATTATTTATTGAATAATTAATTTACATTTTAGCAAGGGTACATACAGGTAACAAATAATCGTCCTGTAAATAATTCATAACAATTAAATCGAAGACAAACTTTTATAAAATTTTATAACAAAATAATGTATAACAAGATATAAGTGTATTGGTTTTTTTATGTCTTATATTTTCTTTTTTATTGTGTTTTTGCTGACAAATTGGCTTTTAACGTATATTACAGTTTGATGATAAATATTCTGAAATGGAAAATGTTGAGATGTGACGAATAAAATCATTCATGAAATTAAAATGAAGGGATTTACGTCTATTAGTGGTGCGATTTATAAAATTAGTAGCTCAAATCGCGGGAGGAATATATGCATTAGTTTTCAAATATTTATTATTTACGATATAATTTCTAAATTAACCACTTTCACTTCTTTAGGTAACAATGTATCTGTCTTGACAACTAAATAGGTAATTAGACAAAATAATGATTATTATTAATTTCAAAACGGGAGTTTAAAGAATTAGAAGAAGGTAGTCCGGGCCCAGTTAACTTTATCGAAAGCTTTTTCGTAGTCAACGAAGCACAAGTGTAGATCAACATTAACATCCCGACATCGCTGAATTAATATGTTGATGGCAAATAGTCCTTCTCGAGTACCCATTCCATTTCGGAACCCGAACTTTTTCACTATCCACATTTAATTGTTTAAACAAACTAGATTATGAATTAATTAATTAATATATAAACAAATTACATATTTGTAATTTACGTAGAAATTACATACAAATTAAAAAATAATGATCAAAATCCATTGAGTAGAACCGGAGATATAGAAAATTTTATTAGTTTGAAATTGTTTGTTCGGTATGGATTGGTACTCAATGAATTTGTAGGTTCTTCCTAATCACCATTTGAACTACATTTTTAAAATTCGTAAAGGTACAACATTTGTGCAAATTTTTTATCAAAAAATACAAATCCCATTCTTTATCATGGCGTCAAAGAGGTTCCTTAAATATTATAATCAAATTAGCTGTGAATTAACAAAAAAACATGGCTAACTTTGGCCCAAATTAACCTAGGTCAAATTTTTTTATTTGAAAATTCGGGGAAAATACTAGCTTTTCGAATGTAAAAAAAGATTTCTTCTAAGGACAATGTTTTTAAAGTTCTAAATGTTTATAAATTACATAATTTCAAAAATTTTGCATCAGGATTTTTGATTATGATAAATCATTTTTTATCATTTTTTAATACATATTGATAGTATCTTTTGCTTTCATTTGTCGCCCACAGCATTACCCTATCTTTATTATTTTCTGTCTTATTTTATTGTAAAAAAAGACCTCTGGGATAAACAAATACAATAACTTTTAAACTAATTAATATATCAGTTCCAAATTTTGAGGGTTTGTTAAGTATCCCAATACCCAACCATCGCTGGAACTCAAAAGTAAAGTTGTTGTATTCAAAGTTTTTAACAAATATCAATTGTCACTTATTTTGCAGTTTCCAAAGCAACAAATTGATTTCAACTTACAAAAATCAGCATTTTGAAGCTTTGTCAATATTCTAAAAAATAAAATTTTGTAATTTTATTTTCTAATAATAGATACATAATATTAATATTTATGTAATTTAGCTTTCTAATGGAGTGGAAAAAATCGCGTTTCTTGCATTACATTAAATCATTAAAAACGGCTCCGAACTTTAGGCAGGAAATAGGTAGGTTTTGTTCTTATATGTCTACAATAACTAAAATAGTTGTCAGCTATCTGGATTATTGATTGTCACGAGAATATCCTTATTACTCTGGACTAATATGACTGGACAAGCAAGTGACGAAACAAACTTCATATATTATGTAAACTTTACTAACAAAAACGTTCAAAATAAATAGTCCAATAAATATAATTAATCAAATTCCATATTCAAATACTGCAAAATATTTGGGTATTACTCTGAGTTCATGTAAAGAAGAAAAGAAAATAATAATTCTGATTGAAATACAAAAAAATGTACTGACCGATTGACCAAAATTCTACTCTGTTTCTACATAATAAATTATAATTATATCAATAAATACTGAAACAATAGTATTATTATAAAAACAGTATAAACATTTAGAAGGAAAATGTCACAAACAACAGAAAATATTTCTATTCATATAAAAATTTAATCAAATTATAGGTACTTACTGCTTATTTATATAAAATTTCCTCAATCGTCGTCGACTTTTTCGTCCGAAACATAAACGTCTTCGCGAACTACCCATTTTAAAAACAACAAAACACACTGGTTTGTCAAAAATAGTCAAAAGTCGAAATAAGCCCTAATATTGTTATTCAACATTATTTATGACCCTCCAACTTTCTTACCTACTCGTCGGCGAGAGTCTAGAAACTATCAACAAGGACAGCTTGTACTGACCGAGAGAGAGAGTACATTTAGCACAATTTAACATTTTTTAAATAGTTTATATGAAATAGCTGCTTTGTCTTACACTTTATGTTAAAAATAAAAACAGATTTGGAAAGTGGGTAAAATTCTGTAGTGCCCTATTTCAAAAAAAAAAAAAATTACGTTTATTTTAACCAAAAGTATTTAAAAAAAAATATTGTTTACACAATTTATTAATTTACAATCAAATAGTGCACTAGAACTTTTTAAGACCTTTCATATAAAAAAAGAATCATCTCAATATCTGCCATAGTTTTTGCGTTATTTGATATAAACTTTTACATTGGAATTTAGTTATGCCCAGAATCGCGAGGAATGGCCTTAATACAGAATAAAACTAATATAAGCGTCTAATGATGTGATATATAAAATGTGATCTAATAATATAAAAATAGATCATAAACACGTTCTTTTACAAAATTTTAAAATATTTTTTCTTTGACCTTAAATAATTTTTTTTTTTAATATTTTGTGTGACCCCCTTTAGCTTGGATGACAGCTTTGATCCTCCTTGACATGCTTTGAATGTTTCTCAGGCAGTCTTTTTTTATTCTTTCGTTTCTGTGCCAGGTGGCAATGAGTCTCTTAATTAACTGCTGTTTATTTGTGACAGTTTCCTGGGTAATCCCCCTCTTTATAAGATCTCATAGATTTTCGATCGGATTGAGGTCTGGGGAATTACCTGACAACTTCAGTACTTTAATTTTCTTTTTTTTCTCAGGTACGGTGTTACTGTTTTTGCCATATGGCACGGTGCTGAATCGTGCATAAAGGTAAAATCCTCCGATTCGCCAAACCAGACTTTGCTTTGTGGCATGAGCTTTCTTTCTAGAACTCCAATATACTGATGTTGATTCATCATTCCATTCACAAAGTACAGCCTTCCTGTGCCCTGAGGCCGACTTATCCATGAGTATCTTCACTCTATACATATCGGAGAAACAAACCTGTGAATAAAAAAAAATATAAGATATTTTGTTTAGGATAAAAACAGTGGTTATAGGGATTTAAACTTTAGTAGTGACGTAATTTACCTTATTTCAATCCTAAATTGTCCAATTTTGGTGTTCTTTGACCCATTTTAGTCTCTTTTTTATTATTGAGATGGTCAACTTTGGTTTTTTGGCAGGGCGACATGTTTTGAAACTTTGCTCAACAAGCTTTCTGCAGACTGTCATGTCAGAAACTGCCATTCCAGCTTCACAAATAATTCCCGTGAGGATTCTTCTTGGCCTTTTTCTATTGTTTACGAAGATATTCCTCATTTTGCTTTCGTCTTTGGGTGTAGTGACATGCTTTCGACCACATTTTTGGCACGCTGGTGAGTCAGGGGTTTGTTGGTATCAATTTTTTTTAAATTTTGCTCACTGTTGCTTGTGCTACTTGGCATTGTTGAGTTATTTGACGCCGGGAAACTTTGTGTATTCAATAAAAGTGTCTTTATCTTCACCATTTTAAACACAGGGACGTCTTTAGCCGTACCTATTATGATTTTCTTCTCAAAAATCTAAATGTTTTGAAAATGTTTTTAAAATTAAAACTGATAGTTTTTTTTTCACTCACAATCACCACTAATAATTAATAAAACATACTACAAGGATAAAACGATACTAATCTATCAAAAACAATACAAAATCATACAAATTCAGTTGTAAACTCCAAGCGCAAATTCACCACGATGTGTATGTTGTCACGTAATTTGACACAAATGACAGTTCTAGAGTTGTAAACGTCAAAAAAGTAGGGTTATTAGAGACAAAATATATTGGCATACCTTAATCGTATAGCAAAATATGAGCTTTTTTTAGCTCATTCCTTCCATTGTTTAATATATATATATATATATATATATATATATATATATATATATAAATATATATAA